TATATATATATATATATATATATATATATATATATATATACACAATATTAGCCTACCCGCCGCTTATATAACATCATTGTTTATAAAAAATTAAGTAAAAAAGTCCTGAGGCATTTTGTCTTCCATGCTGATATTCTTAGATAAATTCCAATTAATCTGCGACTTCAATCTATTCTTTTGATAGATAAACGTACTATGTGCTCAATAGTATGCTCATACGTATATTATGAAGCACACAACACGCAAACATTTATGTATCTAAAGCATGATGCATATTAGTTGAAATTTACTTACGACTATTTCCTTCATAAAGCATCGTAGAGAAAAATAACTGGGGATTTTTTTATTTAATTTTTTATAAACAATAACTCTACATAATCAATGGGCGACGAGTAGATTAACATCCTATGTATATTGGAAAGAGAAATTAGAGAAAACTGTATAAAGCAGAAAAAAAAAAAGAGAAATGTGAGAGAATGAAAAATTATGATAAATTAATTATAATAAATTAATTGCTATAATATAATTTTAGAATTAGAAGGTTTTATAAAAAGCAATTTTGGAAAAATTTACAATCATAAATTAAATAAATATATCGGCTGCGGTTCTATTACGGATGGTATTTATAAAATTGAAGTACATATATTAAATTTTGATGAAAAGAAATATGAAGAGAAAAAGATAAAAAAGGAAATAAAGTACAACTAATTGGCACGGTGCAAAATACAGGTATTAATAGAAATACATAATATGTATAATCTATACAGAATATCCCATTTTAATTAACTCTCACGTGCGCGCGCGCATATACACACACATCAAGAAATGTAAATCCGACCATGCAACCTCCACGCGATATACTTTACCACGCGGGTAATGCTAATGCCGGGGATAATATAATTTTCAAATTCTATAACTAGGAAAATTCTTACGGAAAAAAAGTTTGTATCCAATGTTTCGAAAACGTTTTTTTAGAAAAAAAGACCTGAGGAAATTAAAATGGGACACTTTGTATACAAAGTAAATATTAATAAGTGTCTCATTTGTTTACCTTGCGATATGAATTATCGACTGTCATAATTATCCGAGAGGGGTGAAGATAGTTTGCATATATTTTATATCTACTTCTTGCACGCGTGGTTTGCTTCTTTAAAATTAAATATTTATCATCACACAGAAATCATATATAAATTGATCCTGTTACATATAAAATATTTATCTTTTACTTTACTTCAGAGAGTTAAAAAATGAATCACATCAAGATATAAATATCAAATGTCCGCATATCATTCTTTATTCTACTTGATCAATTGTAATTGTTGTCAATAATTTTATACTATTTTAGATATATACATCGATTTAAACTTATTGTACATACATAGTGTTGAATAATTACGTATTATTTATTGAACTTTTTTGTTAATAACTTTTTAATAAACAGTGAGCAACGGTTAAAATTCTTCATTGTTACTCAAGAGGATGTCACTGATAATATATGTCAACATCAAAATCATTGGAGGGTGGTTCTCTATTCGGCATTTTTATCGTAATTTCTTACTCAACAATGTAACTGTTATATAATAACGTGTTAACACACGTGCAACAGTTACATTGTTGAATAGGAAATATAACTAATTTTTAGATCACATG